TCAATTCCTAAAAGCAAGACATAACATCGGTGTCTACAGGCATACAGAATGTATACAATTTCTCTAGACAGTCTGGAAAACACAGTAACCACTGTTAAAGTTTTGACCATGCATAATACCTAACTAAAGAGGATCTGTTGCTTGGTGAGATTCTCCTCCAGAGCGAGCATTTGCTTTCAGCTCCCAGCATGAGATGCAGTTTTCCTTGGAGGTGACAATTAGAAATCTGCAAGATGTTTAAAGCAGCACAGCAGCCAACACAAAAGGCCACGGTTGTCTGTCTCCCTGTACCTGCTGGACGCCAGGAACAGTCTCTACCAGTCTGTAGAGGTGCAATCAGTAGAGAATTTTCTCGTTTCCTCTACTCTCGATGGTCTCATCCATGGATTCAAGGAACCACAGGTGAGCTCATCTAACCTCTAGTCTAACACTGGATCCTCCTTTTGCCAGCGTGAAGCCCCTGCTTGAAAAAGAATTTGGGGCACCTGGCTGGCTCAGTTGGTGGAGCTTGCAACTCTTGACCTCAGGGTCATGAGTTCAAGCCCCATATTGGGTATAGAGATTACTTACATAAATAATCATTTTAAAAAAATAACTCATTATCCCCAAAGGAAACCTAGTCTATCGTCAGACAGTCTTAATTGTTGGATAATGCTGCCTTTTACTGAGCCAAAATCAGCCTCCTTTTATGAGGGTCAGGGTCAGGCTCCAGCCTACTAAGAGTTTCACCCTGAAAAGTTATTTTTGAGCTATAAGCTGATTTAGTTTTCAGACAACCACCTTTTGCTCTCCAGCTTTAGAGATATAATTCTTTTGAGATTTTTAATTTTAAGTAATCTCTATACACAGCGTGGGGTTCGAACTTACAACCCCAAGATCAAGAGCTGCACGCTGTACCAACTGAGCCAGCCAGGTGCCCCTAGAGATATAATTCTAGTTTAGGATTCCAATTCTTTTCTTTTTTCTTTTTTCTGGATTTCAATTCTTCTCTTAACTGGCAATTCTGTAAGTGTATGACTTCATTTGCTGCCTATTTTGCCTCTTCAATCACCAGACATTTGGCCAAGCTTGACTTCACCAAAGTCACCATTTCAGTCCTTTGCATTCATTTCCTTTTTATTTATTTTTGTTTTGCTTTAGAGAAGAGTGTATGCACGCGTGCGCAAGGCTGGGGATGGGATGTGGGTGGGGGGAGGGGCAGAGGGAGAGGGAGAATCTCAAGCAGGTTCCACATCCAGTGCGAAGTCCAATGTGGGGCTCCATCTCAGGACCCCGAGATCATGACCTGAGCCGAAATCAAGAGTTGGATGCTAAACCGACCAAACCACCCAGGCGTCCCAACTATTTTTTAAAGTAATCTCTATGCCCAACATGGAGCTCAAACTCACAACAGAGATCAAGAGTTGTGTGCTCGAATGACTGAGCCACCCAGGTGCCCCTGAATTTCAATTTTAATGTCACCAAAGCCAATGTTTCCAAAGATATTTACCTGGACATATACTAATACTATTTTTATTGTAAAATATATTTACTTTTATGGATTTTTGTTTTGGCAAATAATATGAAGTGTTCCAAAGTCCCCTCCCCAATTATCAGTAAGCAATTTCGGTATGCACCTCTAAAAGAACCTTTTAAGATTTTTTATTTATTTATTTGACACAAAGAGAGAGAGAGCACAAACGGGGGGTGCAGCAGGCAGGCAGAGGCAGAGGGAGAAGCAGACTTTCCTCTGAGCAGAGAGTCCTGTGTGGAACTCGATCCCAGGACCCTGGGATCATGACCTGAGCCTAAGGCAGATGCTTAACCGACTGAGCCACCCAAGTGCCCCTAGATTTTATTGATTTATCTGACAGAGAGAGACACAGCGAGAGAGAGAGCATAAGCAAGGGGAGTGGGAGAGGGAGAAGCAGGTTTCCCGCGGAGCCCCGATTCGGGGCTCGATCCCCGGACCCTGGGATCATGACCTTAGCCAAAGGCAGACGCTTAACGACTGAGCCACCCAGGTGCCCCTGAATATTTTATTTTTAAGTAATCTCTGCACCCAGCGTGGGGCTTGAACCCACAACCCTGGGATCTAGAGTCATACTCTCCCCTGACCAGCCAACCAGACACCCTTTCCTCATAAACGTTCGGTTGTTTTGGGGTGGGTTTTTTTTTTTAAGATTTTATTTATTTTATTTATTTATTTGACAGAGAGAGCGAGAGCGTGCAAGCAGAGAGAGCAGCAGGCAGAGGGAGAAGGAGAAGCAGGCTTCCCAGTGAGCAAGGAGCCCCACACGGGGCTCGATCGCAGGACCCCGGGATCATGAACCGAGCTGAAGGCAGATGCTTAACCGACTGAGCCACCCAGGCGCCCTGGATTTTTTGCCTTTTTTTAAAGATTTTATTTATTTGAGAGAGAGAGAGAGAGAGAGCGAGCACATGAGAGGGGGGGAGTCAGAGGGAGAAGCAGACTCCCCGCTGAGCAGGGAGCCCGATGCGGGACTTGATCCCGGGACTCCAGGATCATGACCTGAGCCGAAGGCAGTCACTTAACCAACTGAGCCACCCAGGTGCCCGTTTTTTGTTTTGAAAGATTTCATTCATTTATTTGCGAGAGAGCACGTGTGTACAAGCAGGGGGAGGGGCATAGGGAGAGGGAGAAGCAGGCGTCCCCCCTGAGCAGGGAGCCGGACATGGGACTCAATCCCAGGACCCTGAGATCATGACCTGAGCTGAAGTCAGAGGCTTAACCAACCCAGGTGCCCTTCAGTTGTTTTGTTTTCAAATCAGAATCCAAAGCAGAGTCACATTTATTTGGTTGTTGTGTCTTTGAGCCTCTTTTAATCTGTAAGTTCCTCTCTCCTCTCCCTGCAATTTTTTTTTTAAAGATTTTTATTTATTTGACAGGGAGATAGTGAGAGAGGGAACACAAGCAGGGGGAGTGGGAAAGGGAGCAGCAGGCTTCCTGATGAGCAGCGAGCCCGATGCGGGGCTCGATCCCAGGACCCTGGGATCATGACCTGAGCCGAAGGCAGACACTCAACAACTGAGCCACCCAGGTGCCCCGAAAATGTATATTTAAATAAAATATTGAAAATAATAGTATAGATAGTATGTGGTTTTGGCAAAATTGTAAAGGTAGTGGATATGAGTTCGGAAGACACTGACTAGTCTAAACTGTCCCTTATGTGCCCAAGTATGGACCTTCACATCCACAATACTTTCTCTTCAATCAAATCCTGAAATTCTGCATGGAATCCATTAAGGACTGGTAAAGTGAGCTGCCTCCCCCTCCACGAACTTCTGAGTACAGAGATTTAGGTGCCCTCTGGCTGATTCCTTCAGGATGTGGGCTGGCTGGACCTCCTCTAGACCCATATCTGACTGCCTATCTTTGAAAAATTTCTTGTTCATTAACATCTCCATTAGAAGTTGGCCTTCAAAATAAAGACTGAAATGTAAGCCTGACTACTTTGTCTCTTAGCAGTGCTAATAAAAGGATTAGTGTAGTAAGTTTCTAAAATACGTTTTTAAATACCAGTTTTATTTTTTCCCTCATTGATGCAGAAGATAGCTTAGTGTGACATCATGTCTTTGGAAGAAAAAAAAAAAAAGATCAGAAAGCAAAATTTGCCCAAAGCAAACACGCAACCATGACATAATTTTGCCAACAACCTAGGCTTAGAAACTTAAGCATCTTGGGAAAGGAGCAAAATATTCTGTTAGTTCTGTCCTTGGACTTACAAGGAAACTTTTTTGTTGTAAGTCCTGTTTTTTTTTTTTTTTAAGATTTTATTTATTTATTCATGAGAGACAGAGTGGGAGAGAGAGAGAGAGAAAGAGAAGCAGAGGGAGAAGCAGGCTCCCAAGGAGCAGGGAGCCCGATGCGGGACTCGATCCCAGGACCTCGGGATCATGACCTGAGCCGAAGGCAGATGCTTAACCATCTGAGCCACCCAGGCGCCCTGTTGTAAGTCCTGTTATTTAAGGGTATGGGGAGACACAAAGAGGAGCCTAGCTCTTTGGGGGGGGGGGCATTACTGATGAAGGAAGAGGAATTCATGCATACTTGGCAAGACTAAGGGTTTTGGGGTTGTTGTTCTTTCTGTCCTTACATTGGCCGTGACACATGCTTACTACCTCCACTCATAAAGGAACTGAGCTCTTGCAAAATATAAGGTGACAAAGGAAGAATATATTTATGTTTTTATCCTGCTCTTTCACGGTACTGTTTCAAGACGACATGGCAATCTGTTTTTGTTTTTTTTTTGAGAAATGAGCATACTATAGATATACACCTATTAAAAATTTAAATGTTTACTTGGGTTTTTTTTGTTTTTTGGTACAATGGTTGAAGAATTATTAAATATTTAAATGCTTGACTCAAGGTTTTAAGACAGAGAGTTTAATGAAAAAATAAATAAGTATATGAATGCTTTGAGTATGAACAATAGCAGGAACTAGAAATTATCACCTGAAAAAATAGAAACCAGATACTTTTGTGGGGGGGGACAAAGAATCTGAATGTACATGGAATATTAATAATAAGGAATTTATTTTTTTTTAAGATTTTATTTATTTATTTGAGAGAGAGAGAATGAGAGAGAGAGAGCACGAGAGGGAAGAGGGTCAGAGGGAGAAGCAGACTCCCTGCTGAGCAGGAAGCCCGATGCGGGACTTGATCCCGGGACTCCAGGATCATGACCTGAGCCGAAGGCAGTCGCTTAACCAAATGAGCCACCCAGGTGCCCTATTTATTTATTTTAAAGATTTTATTTATGTATTTGACAGAGAGAGAGAGAGCCAGAGAGCACAAGTGGAGAGAATGGCAGAGGGAGAAGCAGGCCCCCCATGGAGCAGGGAGCCCGATGTGGGGCTCGATCCCAGGACCCTGGGATCATGACCCGAGCCGAAGGCAGATACCTAATGACTGAGCCACCCAGGCACCCCCAAAGTGGTTAATTTCAAATCTTTCCTTTTTAAGTCCAATTTATAATTGTCTGTTTTCACATAAAAATATATTTCCCAGTTTGTGGCCTGTGTGACTTTGGCTTTGGTTATCTGAGGAAACAGAAAAAACTCTTTTGTCATTCTTTCATCCTTTACTAGCCTTCTCCTCTGTATATGGATACATATAACATCTACCATTAAAATCTATCCCATAGACAGGATTAATTGCACCTATAGCTGATTGTATTTCTCAAGGCAAATATCCCCAAGAATATCATGTATGGAAAGCTATACAAATACGTAGATGGACAGACCAAAAAACAAAAACAAAACAACCAAAAGACAGAGACTGCATAAGTGCCAAAGAGTTTGTGCAGGGCTAGAAGCAAAACAGAAATCCACCTGGGTCAGAGGTATGGGGTTAGTTTCTCTTGCTGAGGCTCAGGCTTTCCCCCTCTGGTCTTTAACTTTCAAGTTCATGTGGAGGAGCATCTTTCTTCTTTGTTAACCAAACATGCCCAGGTAGAGCTGTCTCTCTTTCCGATGGTAGCTACTGAGTTCCGACTGTGTTAGCTGGAGGTACCGCCGGACATTGGCATCTTAGAATAGGGCAAAGAAAGCAATTAGAGACTGTTAGAACATGATCACACCTTGAGGGAGGAAAGGATTGTTCACACAGTTCCTCTTTTTTTTTTTTTTTTTCAACTTTTATAGAGTCAGATACTTCCTTTTTAGCCATGGCCAAAATTAATAAACAAGCCCTTTAAAATGTTCAAAGCAAACATATTGGTTATAAATACTTAGGGAAAATACCAAGTTACTGTTACTGGCTTCTGCAAGCTAGCATTTTTACCCTCACTTTAGGGATGAGGTTACTTTACAAAAATTGGTCAGAGATGACCCCAAATGACATTCTGAATAAATGATATAAACCAGCACTATTATTTCAAATCAAGATTCCAGTCTTTCAAAGGACTTACTATAGAAAGTAGGTTTGAGGAAGACCGGATTTCTGAATCTGGAAAGAATCATTTGGGTTTACTTAGTGCTATGCTGGAACAAATTTTTTTTTTTTTCTTTTGGAGAGGTGTGTGTATGTGTTTAAGTATCAGAATAAACATATTCTCTGGGACAATAAGTTTGTTCCGATCTACAAAGTATGCAGAGTATTTTTTTACTCTCTAGAGCCCAGGAATCTTCCTGTGAAGAAACACACATAAAAGTGGGTGTAGGACTTCAGCTGCTAATTTAGCCCTTCTTCAATGAGGCTTCTTCTCTACCTTTAGTTGTGGAGTTTGTTCTGCCAGTCTTCAGGTTGATTTCTGGGGTATTTAGGATGATTTGATAGGTACCTAGTTGGATGTGTGGGAAAAGGGGAGCCTAGGGTCTCCCTACTCTGCTGCCATCTCCCCCCTCCACATACTTCTGTTTTTAAAAATCTAAGATCTGAATATATCTTTGCAATAGTAAATCTCATTCATTAATACCACTGTGAATTTTTTAAAAATCTCTGTACAATCAGGGATGGCTGGTTGTTAATTTGATAATGAAAAAGAGTTTCAAGAAATAAAAGAGTTCGGGGCGCCCGGGTGGCTCAGTCGTTGGGCTCTGCCTTCAGCTCGGGTCATGATCCCGGGGTCCTGGGATCGAGCCCCGCATCGGGCTCCTTGCTCGGTGGGAAGCCTGCTTCTCCCTCTCCCACTCTCCCTGCTTGTGTTCCTTCTCTGTGTCTCTCTCTGTCAAATAAATAAATAAAATCTTAAAAAAAAATAAAAAATAAAATAAAAGAGCTCAAGATAATGAAAAAGAGTTTCAAGAAATAAATAACTGTTGTCACATCTAGAGAGACTCTAAAGATACCATACGTGGCTGGCAGTTCATCTATGTACTTGAAGGTCAGAAACACGAACAAATGCCTCATGTTTTAGGTCTTTATTAATTCACACTGGCTTTCCCATTCATTTATTCTATTATTATATCTTATATTTAGATTTTATTTTTAAGTAATCTCTACACCCAATGTGGGGCTCAAACTTACAACCCCAAGATCAAGAGTCACACGCTCTACCAACTGAGCCAGCCAGGCGCCCCCCTGCCCCCATTCATTTAGAGAGTTTTTGCTGCATTGTTATGTTTGGGGACCCTCTGCTTCTAGCATCTCATAGCTCTAAGCCAGAATGCAAAATGGCGACAATTTTCAGCGCCAAACCACCAACACAGGAACGAGTCTATAATCCACTTCACAATATCCTTGCCTTGGAAACAAAGAACCAAGTCTCAAATTCTCTCTCAGTAGGCCTGCCCTTTTTCTAGGTCATACCTAGGCCTAGCCGAACTAAAGGATAAAATGACAGCTCAAGCAAAGGCCAGACCCAGTGGGGGAGCTGCCAGAAATGAGGATCATCAAGTATATTCACTGGAATCTAGATCCCATTTCAGTGACAGTCTCGAACCTGAAACTTGAAAAACAATGCTTGAAAATCTCTCTCACTGGGGGGGATGGAGGGGAGATTATATATATGCCTGTTGAAGCATAACTACTTCTGGAGGGTATACAATACTGCTTTCCTGTGGAGGTAAGAATACAAGGAGAGAAGGCGGCCAGTTTGTCAAATACCTCTTTATACTTTTTGAATTTTGAACTCTGTGAATGTATTATTGTCTATTCAAAACATTCAATAAATCAAAAAAGTAAAATAAAATACTCCCCCCCCCGCCCCCCCGACAGAAACCACCTCTGCAGGACAATTTTATTTGTTCTTACCACTTCCATCCCCTTCTCTCTCACCTTTTGGCTGCCTACTGACAGCAGCCAGGAGGTAGTGCTGAGCCTGGTCATAGTCCTGCAGATGGAAAAAGGCCACTCCAGCCCGATACAAGGCCTTGGCATTATCAGGTTGTCGTTCCAGGACTTTCTGACTGTATTCTTTCACTCGTTCATAGTTCACTGGCTCCATCTGAAGAAGACAGGCTAATAGGCCAAATGAAAGGAAAGACAGAAGAGGGAGGAGGGGCTTATTACACTTAGTTCCACTGGCCAATTGGAGGCAGCACCAGAGGACAATACCAACAGTATTCACTCATCTAATGCATCTAACTGTCTACCATGTGTCAGACATTCTTCTAGGCACCGGGGCTGTAACAGCGAACAGAAGCTTTATGTACCTTATAAGTGACTTTAATAGCTACCGAAAGCATTCGGTATGTGCCTAGTGCTGGGTTAAGTCCAGCTATAAAACTGATAGGAACATACATTAAAGTGTATTTAAAATTCTTCATTGTTTCTCTTCTACACCAGGCTCTCCATCTTGAACCCCCATTTAACCACAATTATTGTACTGCAGTTTTAAAATAAAATATTTTATTTATTTGAAAGAGAGAGGGGCGCCTGGGTGGCTCAGTTGGTTAAGCATCTGCCTTCGGCTCAGGTCACGGTCCCAGGGTCCTGGGATCGAGCCCCACATCAGTCTCCCTGCTCTGCCAGGGGCCTGCTTCTCCCTCTGCCTCTGCCGCTCCCCGTTCGTGCCCTCCTGCTCTCTATCAAAGAAAGAAAGACACAGAGAGAGCACGCACACGTACAGGAGCAGGAAGGTGGGCAGAGGGAGAGGGAGTCAGCATACTCTCCGCTGAGCAGGGAGCCCGAAGGAGGGCTCAATCCCAGGACCCTGTGATCATGACCTGAGCCGAAGTCAGAGGCTTAACCAACTGAGCCACGCAGGTGCCCCTGTACTGCAGCTTTATAAACAACGGTTGCCATCAACTGTGTGAGAAAATAGCAAGCACTGTGGTTGATAAAACATTATCTCGTTTAGGGGCGCCTGAGTGGCTCAGTGGGTTAAGCGCCTGCCTTCGGCTCAGGTCATGATCCCAGGGTCCTGCAATTGAGCCCCTCGTCAGGCTCCCTCCTCAGCGGGGAGTCTGCTTCTCCCTCTGCCTGCCTTTCTCTATCCCTCTCACCCTCTCTCTCTAATAAATAAAATCTTTAAAAAAACAAACAAAACATAATCTCGTTTAATCTTCTCATCCACTCTATGAAATTGGTGTTACTTTCTCCATGTATTGGACAAAGAAATCAAGGCTCAGAGAGATAAAATAACTTGTCCAAGATCCCACAGCTTCTAGGTGGAATATGAAATTTGAACCAAGGACTAATTCCCAAACCATCATTCTTGATAATATATTACTTCACTATTACCTTGGATTATATAAGGGGACTTCGAAATACAAATCTGTTTAGGAGGCGATGTTCAGCCTTTCTATAATTAAGAAGGGAAATGTGCTCCCTATTTCATGACTGTAGGAATTAAACATAGTATTATTTAATCATGGTGCTGAGAAGAAAGGAGAATCAGGGCTTCTGAGGACATTAAAGGGCCCAGGCTTACATCTGCATCCCTTCTACAATATCCCCACCAAGTGGTCATATGGCTCATACTTAACTAATCCATCACTGTAGCTTCATTGGTTATTTGATAACTGGTTATGCAGCACTGACCATATGTTAGGCAGAGCCAGGAGCAGCAGGGAAGAGGAACCAGACAGACATCTTGATGAGTAAACATCACTTGCATCCTAGCCCCCAAGTAGGAGGAGGACACAATAAACAAATGAATTTTTAGAAGTGTTTTGGTTTTTTTTAAAAGATTTTATTTATTTTAGAGAGAATGAGAGAGAGCACGAGAGGGAAGAGGGTCAGAGGGAGAAGCAGACTCCCTGCCGAGCAGGGAGCCCAATGTGGGACTCGATCCCAGGACTCCAGGATCATGACCTGAGCTGAAGGCAGTCGCCCAACCAACTGAACCACCCAGGCGCCCTGAATTTTTAGAAGTGTTTTGAGGAAAACAGAA